TCACTAAATGATCTAAATCCTTTTGTAAATCAGCAGCATCCTCTTCACAGCTTGCAACACAATTTATTGACTATTCCTTCATCTACATCATTGATGTAAATCAAAAAGAGCAAAGGTTCTAAGACTGAGCCCTCAGGTACCATAATTGTGACATTAATCCAGTTTGACTAACCTCCATTTGTAACGACCCTCTGCTTTCTTCCATCTGGCCATTCTTCTATCCAATTTGCTAATTTATCCCTCACACCTACAGAGCTATTTTTTTACAAGCCTTTTATGTGCCACATACACCACATCTACACTCTTACCCTCATTTACATAAGTAGTAACCTTTTCAAAGAATGTTAAAAGATTTGTAAGGCAAGATTTTCCCTTAGTGAAATCATGTTGATTATCCAATAAAAGAGTCATTTAAAGCGATTTTATTTTGATACGGAACACTTAGTATAGCCTATGACTTTCAAGTGATATAAGTTATTTTCTTAAGTTATTATTAATATTACTAGTTATAGTACTTGTACTGTACTAATACTACTTTTACTAGAGAATTAGTAAAGTAGCAGGTCTGTACGAATAATGTTTGAAAGGTGGTTCTAATCTGTGAAATCAAAGGCCAACACGTATTGTGCGAAGCATAATCAGCATGCTAATGCTACGGGGGTCTGGGGGGAATGTCCCACAGAAAATTTGTAAAAAACATAGGGCTATGACTATGAGATTAAATCTGGAATTGGAAGCAATCTTACATGAAATACATCTTAAAGTTAAACAATGGCATGGCTGTCCACATAAAGTTCACAAACATCCAAAATGCTATGTACCATAAGGAGCTGTTCTATAACTATATACACACAGTTTTTAATGTTTTTTACGTGCGTGACTAGTATCATGTTGCATACTGTAGACTAATGTATATAAGCTATTTCTGGTAGTATATGAATGAAGGAGGTTAAAGATTGGATATGTGAGCCACTTACTACTATTTTTTGTCAGGTACCAGAGGATTGGAAGTTAGCTAATGTAACTCCTCTTTTTAATGGAGGTGATTAAAATTGTCCCAGTAATTATAGATCCATTAGTCTTACATCAGTTATGGGAAAAGTTTTGGAAAGTCTGTTTAAAGATGCTTTGTAAAGTCATTTAACAAAGTTTAGAATGTTTCTTTAGCTGGGGAAGATCCATTTTGGAAATTTATATCCAATAAAAACTGAGACTTACTCTTGGGCTAACAGTGAATTGAGATTTAAATCCAATTTTTTTCCCAGATAATCGTGTTTTTATGTTTTTTCAATTGCTGAAAGATACACTACCTTAGGGAAAATAAATAGTTATAAAATATTGTATTATATATAAAAATTTCTCTTAACTTTATCTTATGTGTCTAAAATAGTAAATTATAATTCTCTCATTTAATCTAGTAAACGTATTTTACGTATATAAGTTTACTCTAATGAAGAAACGTGTAGAAGTCTATAATAAAAAGGATGTTTTCAAAAATGTATTTTTGCTTTTGTTTTTAATCGTGAGATGGCGAAAAAGTAAATATAGGCAATATGGCGATTCATAGTGGTGGAGAGCATGTTCATCGACCTGGTCCTTTTAAACAGCAAAATAAACCACATAAACATGGTAAACATCGCAGTAACAGAGCTCTGGAAACAGTAAATAAAGGTAATACAAAACGAGTAGTGGGATTGACCAACACGTTATAACGCCCC